TCTGCCAATTTGGTCAAAGCAAGCAAGCTTTTTATAAACCTGTTCATTTCTCTTCAAAATCTTACCTAAATGGTCACCGTGAAAACATAGTCCTGATCTATTTTGACCCGCTTGTGATTTTTTTGTTTTTGTTTTTCCTCTCAAAACCAAAATGCCTAGTTAACATAAAAATTGCTTCATTGTCTAAATTTGTAACCCCATTTAATGTATGCTATTGCTGGTTTTGTGGAGTTATCCCCACCTTGTTGCAGTTTCTCATATGCTGTTATTTGTGGCTTATTAGGTCTAAATGGCCTCTGCTGCTGCTGGAAAGCACAAGAAAAAAAGATGCAAAAAGGGGTAATGTGCTTTTAAGCTGGTAAAAGGAAGTATGAGGCCTTTTGAGCTGAATAAAGGAAATGTACTTCCTGAAAAGACTAAAAAATCCAGATCTTTGAGGCTATTCTCAGTGCTTGCTCGTTTTACTGACATTTTACTTCATGCTTAAAAGAATAATTCATTCAGCAGATGGGAATCAAGAATAAGGCAAGATTTGAAAAGTGTTTTTTTTCTTCTGCAGTTTGGGGTATAAGCTTGCTATAGTACCAGGCAAATGCCATACAGATACATGCAACAGATTTGGGATTTTATCATTTGTTTTGCTAAGCTGGGTTTGCATGCAAAGACAAAGCATTAGGAACCCTCAGATTTTCCTCCTGCTTTTTCTCCCAAATACTGTGATCTCTTAATTCTGGAATCACTATGAAACATATAGCATCTGCTTCTTAGAAATCAATAGGAACTTAAGATCAGAGGTCTCTCGCAAAGAATGGATCAGTCCATATGTTTAACATTTTAAATATTTGAAGTGTTTCAATATCAAAGTTCAAGTAGTGTAAAGGGAGGGGTATGAGTTTCTTCTCTCTTGTTTTAAATTTTCATATGTCTTTCTCAATACCCCTTTTCCACTTCTGTTGGGAATGTGCTCATCAAAGAAGATTGTTTGCGTGCCGTGAAATTATGAAGCTTGGACTTACTTGACCTCAAGTAGATTTTGAGCTTTAAGAATGCATTTAAATGGTGAAAATTAACTCATAACTCAGTTCAGTGCAAAAGCATTCTGTTCTCATGGCTGGCTGCAAGTAGTTATTAGCCTGTTAATTGCAGAAATACCATATTCTGATACTGAAGGAGTTAATATTTTATATTAAAGATCTTGGATTGTCAGTATCTTAAATGGAGAAGTATTTGTGCGTTCTTGTGAGATAATGCTGCGTATCCCCTGATGAAATGACTCCGCTTTCGCTAGAGTGCCTATTAAAGAATACATTAGAGATTTGTTAGAGAATCAAAAGGCTTTGCTTAAAGTTGTTTTCTGTAAACTGTAGTCCAGTTCAGTGGGACCTTATCAGACTGCCCTGCATTTGATAATAACCTTAATGGTTGTGTTATAGAGAGCCTTTATTTAGGAGTAAACAGCCTCTGAATGCTGTATATCGAGTTTCCACTTCTGGGAAGGTGAGATGATATTCCTCACAATTATCTTTTTCAGAAGAGGCTAATTTGACCTGTAGATAGAAGGAAAGACAATGTCCCTGTGTTGCAATATTCATGTGGCAGAAAGCAAAAAGCATCCGGTGGTGGTGGTGGTGTGTGGTTTATTTATTTCTTTATTTATCTTTAAGAAAGAACAGAGCATTTTTTTTCCGCTGGACTCTGAATGTCTGCAACCAAATTCTTCTGCCATCATATTGCGATGTCGTACATATCTATAACTACAGGAGTACGTGACTGACTTTTTTAACAGTGTATGTCAAAATAGTTTTTCCTGGGTTTGAGTACTTCAGTGTAGTATCACAAAGCAGCTATTTTCAAACTTCAGGTCTGTTTCTTGAGACATTAAACACAAACTGGCAAACTGGAAATGAAACAAACTCAAGAGAAGCATTGGCTGGAATTATTGCCCTATTCAACCACTTTTTAAATGATCCTTCCTCGAAAGTTGTTCCTGATAATGTTTATAAATAGTATTACGAAAAGGCACAGGGAAATAACTGAAGCTTTGCTTTACTGAACCTGTTGTCTGTGGGTAGTGACCTGAGCAAATGTGCTGCAGCATTTGCTGTCTGGGTCTTGCAGCCTGTGGCAGTCGATACCTTCCAGAAAGGAGAGGTGCAGGTACGTCAGACCTACAGCAAAGTGAGGGGCTGGGGTGTTGCAAGATCCCTTTCTTTAAGGTAGAGGTGCAGTCTAAGTCTTCCTCTCCTGCCAAAACGCACTGGTGGTGGTGGTAGTATGAACACGTAGGTGAAGGGGATGGGTGAAGTATTGCTAATGGTGCTGTTCTGCTAGAACTCTCTCTGGTGGAAGAAAAGCAAGTTTCAGCTGTTCTGGGAGTCCAGTAAAGCGCTCTGTTCAACAGCTGTGTTACTAACCATTTTTGTTGTTGTTTTAAATTAAATAAGCAGAATCGAAGTATAATTTTTTTTAAAAAAAAAGTTTGAAATGTTTTGTAAGTGTGAAGTTTTCTGTAAACCTGATGCTTGTCTGTTTTGCCAGCCTGAAGTTACCACACAGATGAACGAATATTTGCATCATTCCTGTGCTGGGACAAAGAAAGGGCGGGGGGCGGGGGGGAGAAACCCGGCTCTTTGTGTAGATAACAGAGAAAGGATAGCTTTGTTAATGTCTTTATGTTCTGTTTTACTGCTAGTAACACTGCCTTTAAATTAGTGAGAATAAGAGGTCCTAATAATAAATGGACTTTTCTGAAGTGTTTGTCATAATTCTGTCTGAAATCTAACATTACTCTAGGCTCTGTTGTGACTGCTTTAGGAAGGTCCAGTATCTTTTCTACTAAAAAAATATAAAGGAAAAAAAAACCTAAAAGTAGTCCTCTGTTGGGTAATGGAAGGTCCCATTAGCATGCTACCTTCAATTATTTATAAATTTTTAGATTATAATAATATCTTATCTAGAAATTTGGAACAACAGAAATTATAAAGCTAATACTGGGGATAAGCTTATTCCTTTTGATTCTTTAGTTTGGGGGGGGGGGGGGTTTTTTTTACTT